TATATTTTAAATTAAGGTATAATTTGCATAAAAGATACTCATTTTAAGCAAACCATTTCATGAAGTTTCACAAATGAATATATTTAATTCAATCATAACAATCAAAATAGGGATCACTTCCATCACAATGATAAGTTCCCTCATGAATCTTTGCAGCCAAATCTCCACACCCACTCCCAGGCAAACACTGATCTGCTTTCTGCCAATATACATTTCCCTCTTTTGGAATTTTAAAAATACACTATTTTTAGAGAAAGTTTAGATTCACAGCAAAATTGAGCAAAAAGTACACAGAGTTCCCATATACCCCTTACCCCTAAACATCCAATCTCCTCACTGTCAACATCCAGCACCAGGATGGTGCATTTGTTACAATTAATGAACATACACTGAGACATCATTGTTACCTAGAGTCTATAATTCACATTAGGGTTAATTCTTGGTATTGTCCATTCTAGGGGTTTGGACAAATGTACAATGTTACACAGCCACCACTGTAGCATGAGAGAGTAGTTTGTCTTAGAGATCCTCTATACTCTGCCTATTCATCCCTTCCTTCCCACTAACCCTTGGCAACCACTCATCTTATTACTACCTTCATAGTTTTGCCTTTTCCAAAAATGTCAGATAGATGGGAGTCATAAAGCATGTGGCCTTTTCAGATGGGCTTCTTTGACTTAGTAATATGCATTTAAGTTTCATCCATATATTTTCATGGCTTGATAAATCTCTTTTCAGTGCTGAATAAAATTCAATTGTCTGAATATACTACCGTGTATACATTCACTTACTGAAGGATATCTTGGTTGCTTCCAACTTCTGGCAATTATGAACAAAGCTGCTATAAAAATCTTTGTGCGTGGCTGGTGATTTATTTTATATTCATTTTTAAAAATTTTTTGAGACAGGGTCTCACTTTGTAGTGCATCCTGGCCTTGAACTCATTATGTAGCCCAGGCTGGCCTTGAACTCTCTGTGATCCTCCTACCTCACCCTCCTGAGTGCTGGGATAACAGGCATGTACCACCACACCCAGCTAAGGGCAGGGGATTTAGCTCAGTGGTTCCGCTGCTTGCCTTGCAAGCACGAGGACCCAAGTTTGATGCCCTGTACAAAAAAAAAAAAAAAAAATCTATGTGCAAGTTTTTGTTAGACAATAATTTTCAACTCATGTGGTTAAATACCAAGGAACATGGTTGTTGGGTCATATGGTAAGAGTTTAGTTTTATAAGAGACTTCCAAATTGTCTTTTTTAAAAATTTAGTAGCAGGGATCAAACTTGGGACCTTGTGCTTGCAAGACAGGTGGCAGAACCACTGAGCTAAATCCCCAGCCCTCCAAATTGTCTTTCAAAGTGACTATACCATTCTGTATTCCCACCAGCAATGAATGAGGTTTCCTGCTGCTCCACAGCTTCCTTGGAATTTTTTTTAATGGAATTTTTTTTAAAAAGCAATGACCAAGATTATTTGAAGAAAAAAAGTGAAGGATCGGGGAGAAACTGGCTTTGCAAGGGGAGCTTGGGCTAAGTAAAGAGAAAAAGAGGGTAAAAGCAAAAATAGAAGTATATGCTGTGTCTAGGAAACACATTGTGAGCTATCGCGGAAAGTTATGATATCCTAAAATGGAATTTTAATGTAGGATATAATACTGTATACCTGATTTTTTTTCATTTAGACTGTGTTTTAGAGCTACTCATGTTATTGTATCTGCAATTTGTTTCTTTATATTGCAGAATATTATTTCATTGTAGTATTTTCTATATACAGATTATGTCATCTATGAATAGAGATAATTTTACCTTCTCTTTCCAATCTAGACACATTCTATTTGGTTCTTCTTGCCTAGTTTCTCTGGCTAGAATTTGCAATACAATTTGAACAGAAGTGTCAAAAAGTGGACGTCCTTTTCTTGGTCCTAATTGTAGGGGGATAACATGCTTTCTTTCACTACAAAATATGAAGTTGTCTGTGGGTTTTTCATAGATGGTCTTAAAGAGCTTGAGGAAGGTGGCTGATTTTCAAATGCTTTTTCTGAGGATTGTTATTTTCATATCCTAGCAGGAAATTAACTTGCCTGGTCTCAAACTGCAAACTTTCCCTTCAGGTATGCAGCAGCTAACATCCCTGCCAAGTTTTCTCATCCTCCAGCTATTCCTTTTTCAGCATGGTTTTTATTCCTTCCTGTTTGTCCCTCCTCCCAGTACCAGTAGTCAGCCAAGGATCTAGGTGGAGTTTAAGCTCCAATTTTGGACCTCAGCCTTTTGCAGCTCTCTTACTTTCAGGATATCTTTCCTAAACTTTATTCTAGCCACTCTGTTCTTTGTCATCTTGAAACAGTGACAGTATTATCCTTTGCTGCCAGAGCTAATTTGGGATCACTTTCAGACCAAACAGCCACAAATTCCCATTTTTTGCCCATTCCAAGGATAAATCAATTTCAAAGACAAACTTTCCTCATTGTTTCCTTGGCCACTTTATAGTTTCTTCCAAGACTCAGATACTTTTAATATATTTTGTCCAAATTTTATAATTGTTACCTGGTGGCAAAGTTTGACCAACCCATTCATTCAACACTTCCTAAAACTAGTCTGTGATTGTAAATTGTTTTTTTTGTTTTTTGATGTTTTGAGACAAGGTCTTGCTCTGTAATTGAGGCTGGCCTTGAACTTGCCTCCTGCCTCAGCCTCTGGAGTGCTGGGATTACAGGTATGCACCACCATACCCATTTAGATTATAACACCCCCCCACACACTCCCCCCTCCCACCCCCGATTGGGGATGGAACTCAGAACGTTGTGCCTGAGAGGCAGGCGTGGTACCACTGAGCTACATCCCTGGCCTTAGATTATAAATTTTACACTTGATCTTAGCCAAAAGGCCAAGAAGCGATAGATTATAAATTTTAAAATGAGAGATATCTGTGTCCTATGCCATCTGAAGTCTAGTGATGATAACTTGTATTCAAATTTAACTTTCACTAAATTTATGGATTCGTAGATAAGTGGATTTTAAAAATCTGTTTGGTTTCCCAGAGTTATCTCAAGGACTCCCTAGAGCAATAAAATATCAAAAATAGGTACTGGAAAAAAAATAGGTACTGGAATGGGATTGTTAGTAATCAAAAATAGATCAAATTTGGAGAAAAATACAAAAATATTTAGGGCATTAATTGTCAGACAAGTAAAGAGTGGCTCAGAAATCCTAAAGGCAACAGATATGTTAAGATGGAACACTAAGAAAGGGGTTGAACATATTAGTATAAACTCATCAGAATTCCTTTGGCTCCATTCAAGACTATCAGTTGGACTGTGAACAAGAATTATGTTTCTCCATAAGTAAAAACAAAGACAGAAATATATACATTCTAAAATATATATATACACACACACACATATCTATATAAACATATCTATATAAACACACACACATTTTTCACTGTATAGTAGTATAAAATATTTCAATGCATTTTAAAGTATTTTAGAGAATGATGTTGATTAATTCTACATTTTTTGGGGGGGGTACCAGGCATCAAACTCAGGACCTTGGACTTGCAAGGCAGGCGGCAGAACCACTAAGCTAAATCCCCGGCTACACTGTTTTATTTATCACCAAAACACTTATCAACTTATTTTGGTTACAGAAGCTGATATTATGAAATAGCAAAATTAATCAACTCTCCCTTATTTACTTCACATAGTATATGCAGAAGAGATCCACATCTCTTCCTTTCTTATGCTTTAGCCAAAATCAAAAAGGCAAAGATGAAAGATAAGGACTGGATTTATGAGATTTTTTTTGGTAAAAATGACATCAGTAGAAAACAAAAAATGACATCAGTGAATTCAGCTAATATAAAAATAATTTTCCAATACTTATAATTGTACCTTGTTAGACATCTAATTTTATAGTCTATTTTAATGAACCCAACATATATGGTAAATGTTATCATAAAAGAATGACCATGTACACTTTTGTTTCTATTTAAAATATAGCAAATTATTACCGAAGACGTAAATCTTCCCACATTTTCAATAATCCACAGAGCATTACTATTTCATAGTATTTTTTCCAGCATTCAACAGCCTCTGCTGCAGATGGATCTTCTTTAATATTGTTCTGATACTCAATGAGCTCGACATGCTTCTTTTTATATTTCTCCAAAGTTTTTTTAAAACGCTGTGCAATAGGAGCAGGTATTGTTCCATCCTGTATATCACACCACCTGGAAAGTATCAATGCAGTTATAATGGTTCTCCTTTATAATGTGAATAATTTTCTAAACTGTACTTACAGATTAATTCTTTCTTCAATAAGAGCAGAATAATCCTCACAATTTTCTTCATAATCCCAATCTCTCCAAAGGAAATCGTAAAAAAACCTACAATAAACCAAATTAAGATAGTAATCACCAACAGCCTCTACTGTGTTTAGAATTTAAAAGACATTTAGATATCAGAATCTTCTACATGGATCTTAATTCTTAAGAAAAGTATTTTTGTTTTTATTTTTTTTCCGGTACTGGAGATTGAACTCGGGACCTTGCGCTTGTGAGACAGGCACAGCACCACTGAGCTAAATCCCTAGCCCAAGAAAAGTATTTTTAAATGAGCTTTCAGTGAACTAATAATAATAGGTAAAGCAGGGCCAGAGATTTAGCTCAGTAGCACAATGCCTGCCGTGCAAGCACAAGGTCCTGAGTTGTATCCCCAGTACAGAAAAAAAAAAAAGGTAAAGCTTTAAATAGACTATGTGGATACTATCTTAGGTTACTGCATATAAGAAAATAATATTTCTGGAAGTAGGAGTTTAAATTCAAGTTCTAAATTTCATATTTTGACTATAATTTTGTTCAATAAAGAAATAATATATAACAAAAATTGTATTTGGGGAAAGAGAAACAATAACAAAAGCCAAATATTATTCTGCCCTTGGTTTATAAATAGCTTTCCTCATACTTTATAAAATTCATAACAAGCTATGGACCAGGCATGGTGGTGCACATTTGTAATCCCAGGTACTTGAGAAACTGGGTAAAGAGTATTGTAAGTTTGAGGCCAACAATATCCCATCTCAAAAACAAACAAAACATAGTGTGGATGATGACATCTAGTATAGTATTTAAAATGTCCTTAAGTGTAGAAGTGAAATCTAATATATATATATATATATTTTTTTGTACTGGGGATCAAACTCAGGTCCTTGCACTTGCACAGCAGGC